TTTTTCAGTTTTAACTACAACAATCAAGAGGTTCGTATGCGATGGTCAGCAATAGACGAACCAGTTCAACCGATGGCAGCAATAGTGCTGCCAGACTTTGACCTTTTCAAAATTAGTGCAAACCGTAAAGAAGAAGTACGTTCCTCGGTCATCTGTTCTCTTCACTATATACCTTCTTTTGCCTCTTCAAAGTTGGGCTGCTAACTGTACGAGTTCTAGCCATATCCAGCCGGAATGTGGGACGAATTACATGTCATCATTATGTTTGAACGACGATTTATATGGTATTTCATGCAAGCTTACCTTCCAACATATCTTACTATTTTTATAAGGTATATTTTGTAGATTTTCATGTTTCTTAAGAGCCGTGCTATGCTCAGACCACACTTGCAAGCCGTTCTGAAGCGGAGGCCGTTTGACTGGGCTGACGTCCAGTAATTTCCTCGATTTCAGCTGGGTGTCATTTGCATTGGGACCCCGAGCTATTCCGGCGCGTACCATGCTTGGAGTGAACGCCCTGCTTGCGATGATATTCCAATTTGGAAACATCATGCGAAATCTGCCACGGGTTTCTTATATAAAAGCTATTGGTAAGCTTGTATAACTATTCCTATTCAAAAAAACAATATTTTGTTTTCTCCACTTCATTCCTAATTTTATCTTTTCCCCAAGTTTCTAACTTCGACAAAATTTTCCACGACCCTTTTCCAGTGTGGGGTATGTGTATCATTGGAAATCAACTACGAAAATATCCCAGTAGTGAAAACAGGCCCAGATATTTGTTCATTTACCTTTAGGTAAACTGTAGTATACCATATGAAGAGGTCGCCCAGTCACAGAGACCCTCATGCTTACCGTATCACCTGAAGGCTACAATTCACTACATATTGCAACCGTATAATGGTATTTGCAGTCTAAATAGGCTCCATGCTAGCTGGATGTTTCGAAATTTGGATCATTTGCATTTTGAAACTGTATTACTCCTCCCCTTCCAATAACTTTTCTGGTTTTTTTTTTTCGTCTTCCATTTAAAGAATTATTCATCATTAATGATTACTCCAGATACAT